TTTGTTTCACATTTAACTTCTTTAATTTTTTTGAGTTTCTTTCATACAAGTGTGTATATATACCTTCTTATACTTTACCTAGCTTTATGAACTTATGTACACATTACCGATGCTGCTTTAAGTATAGACACATTACTTCCTTCTTTATCGTTACTCTTGGCAAATTTATAAGTTGTCTTTTTATTATACAATTTTGTCCATTATAAATGTATATATTAGTTGTCATGATATCATAGCTTTATTTATTGTATATTATGTTATTTTAGAGACTTGAAAAGGACTATCAATCGTGTAGTCGAAACGTCATCACTTATGTATTAATAAATGTATGAACAGTAAAACCCTTGACTTACTTATTTATTTTATTTTCTCCTTTCGCTGTTCAAGGGTGCTTTTTTTTAATGTTTCCCAATGAATAGGAATGTTGAAAAAACATATTGGAAATTTTTACCAAATAAGTGGTGAATAGTTTGATTTTTTTAGATTTGAATTTTTTCTCGACTGTACATGGATCTGAAATATCCACTGAAAAAGTTACATACTAGAAACTGATTTTAATTTCTTTCAAGTAGCTTGGGGCTGATAAAACTTCTTTTTTCGATACAATTTTTTAGATTCTGAACCATCAGGTTGTGATATAAAAATGACGTTACAAACCAAATTTGAGTCCAGTTTGATCTCAAGTCTATGTGATAATTAATTTCCGTGTCTTCATACATGCGTGTATATATACACTAATCGAACTAAAATTCTTAATCTTAATCCTACAATTCCAGATCATATTCTAAAAATTAAATATAACATTCCAATATTTTTGTATTTATATATATATATAACTTGGAACTAATCGAGTACACCTCGGATAACTCTCAGATTGCACTGTAAAAAATAACCTAGAATTTAATGTGAACTCACTGTAGAATAATTGAAATTATTTAATGTTTTTCCCCATAAAAGTAGTTTAATGTAAGAATCATTAAATTTCGTGTATTATTTTTGAGTATTAAAACAAAATTTTATGTGCGTAGATAAAAATTTTATAAATTAGTACTCTAAATATACTTAAACCAAAAAATCATAAAAATATGTTGATTTTGCAATAAATTTAATGAAAAACCAAAGATAATTTTATGTTTTTATACATTAAGTAATAAGAAAAATAAAAAATTCAATTTTTGAGTGCCAAAAATAGACAGATGGATTTGTACATTAAATATTTTGTGACACGCTCAAAAAGTTCAATGAAATACCATAAATTGCATAAAAATTAGATTCTTGAAATATTCTGACTCACAAATCAATTTCATATCTTTCTATAAAATGTGAAATATATTTTTATCATGTGTCATAATTAATATTTAGAATTTGACGTCCGTTTATACATTTTACAACAATGCATATTTGTATTAATTTTTGTTAACAATCGTATTAAAAATTATCAAAGAACACATTGAATTTAGTCTTTATTCAATAAAATTTCATTACAAGTCAACAAAAATAATTATTTTAATCTGCGTGTCAAATTTTATGTAAGCATATATTAAATATTTAGCAAAATGACACGAATTTTTTTATGATCATTACCAGAAAATTTTCCTTCTGCAAAAAAGTTTTATTTAATTTTCTAGAATTTGAGTCACGTTTTCATCACTTTTTACAATAGATAATTGCAATAAATATTATGCAAATTTGATTAAAATTTTATGAAATATTTTATGATTTCTCTCAGTATACGCTTTTAATGCTATATCAAATAATACAATTGAATTAACTAAGACTGTAAATTTTATTTAATTTAACAGCTTCTGAAAAAAATTTAATGCATTTCATGTTATAAAAATTTAATTGGATTTGTAACAAAATATTACAGAAATATTAAAAAATTTCTTTATTAATACATTGAAAATAATATAAATGTTCGTAGAATCGTGATAAAGAGAACATAAAATATTATGTTTGGCATCTAATTTTATAAATCAAGAATACGTATATCAAAATTACACTTACAGTATCTTAAATAATTAAAAAATCAAACCACGAAGTACGTGTTGCATATGTGCATTGAATGAATAGCATACCGCTTTATGGCATAAAAATAAATTTAATGTAAAAACTCGGGAAATACTGATCACATCAAATATTGAATTCATAAATAATAAAATTGTATCTGCACATGGAAAACATGTCATTTAAGTATTATTTAAATTCTTTCACTTTTTAAAAATTAACACTAAAGTCAAAATGTTTTGTAACCTTTATTTAACTTGCTTGTGATAGGCAAGTACAAGTTCTTAAATTTTGGAGGTCCCATGTGGCGATAGCTTAGTGGTTGCAGTGATAGACTTCTACGCAGAAGGACCAAGGTACAAATCTCCACTCATGCACAATTTTATTAATCTAATTATTCTATGCCAGCTCGTCTATGATTTTTCAAAGTATTATATAATATTGCAGATGTAAATTAATAATCCTAAATATTAATTGTAATTTAAATGATTTAGTTTATATAGTAAAATAAGATCTGCAACACATACATAAAATATTAATGGTTCAAACATTATAAAATGAAGATAACCCATTAAAATTGATATCAATGTCACCAAAAACAAAATCCATAGGGTTGTCAGGAGCACGACACGGGGGAAGGGCCTTGGGTTTATTGCACAACAAAAAAAAGTCCCTAATATGATACTATGAATTTTTTACACAGGCATCGAAACGATTTAGTGAGCAGTTATGAAACTTGTTTCCAGTATGCATTAAATTTCATGTAAAATTTAATAGAAAATCATATGGATAGTGTGTGATATTTAGTACATAAAAAAATATTTTAGGCCATAAGCAAAAAAAAAATTTAATGTACGATTATGAAAGTTGTTTCCAGTCCATTTTTATAAAATTTAATGTTAATATATTTATTAGAGCGCGCGGTGGCTCAGTTGGCTAGGTCGTGGATTGGAAGACCGTGGTTCGATTCCCGGCCAGTACGACTTTCGGGCAAGTACCTTTGTGATTTTTCACATGTGCTTTTTCACCACGCAATGCTCCTCGAGGAGGGTTTAGGCAACCTTCTCGCAGAAAAAATTTCCTAATTTCCCCCTACCCCCTTCCTGTAATGGAGGCCTCCCATCCCTTTCCTAATCCCTTTCCCAAGTACTAAGTGCCCATAGTAGTGCCCTTATTAAAGGAGCCGGACGTATAGCACTATAATTTTTAAAAAAAAAGGTCAATTTTTGAGATCAAAGAGGGGGGGTCCGCTTGACAGACAATGCCCCATATGCATTTTTCTATTGAATTATTTGGGATGGAAATTGTTACTTACGAGTTTTTGGGGTAGCTGATGATAAATCCAAGGTTAGCTTTCAAAAATGTTCAAATTTAAAATGGCAGATCCAATATGGNTTTCAACGAATCTAACCTACAAAATTTAGTATTTATTCGCAATAATTGAATCTGAGCTTCAACGTGAAAACCCTCTGGAAGATGCCAATGCAGTAATATAAGAAAATGATATCAATACTAAAATAATTTTAAAAAAATACTAAAAAAATTTGTAATATAACAGAAAAATGTTGTAGGCTTTAATCGTACAAGATGCTGCAGTTGAAGATAAAATTAAACTTTAATTTACATCGAAAAGCATACAGAAAGAAACAATTTTGCACAGTCGAAAATTTCATGTGCAATAATTGTGTCATTTACCCCTACGCCCAGGCAATGATCTTTTGCGAAATTTTTCGTATTCGCAGAATGATGCGGTCCATCATTATTCACAGCTCAAGCCGTAGAAAACAAATGGAAAAAGCATCGGATGCGTGATCGTGGGGAATACACGGCAAATGGACAGAAGCTACCGAAGTGAACCAAAGGAGTACATACACGTATGACTTTATGTGTATATAATACAGACTGCAGACACAGGCACAAGAGAAAGGGAGTACACACACACACACATGTATATATATATATATGTGTGTGTGTGTGTGTATATTTAATATTGTGTACAGAACCGGTAAGGAGATTGGCCATCCGAGTGCCCTGACTCACTGGGCCGCAGCCCCAACGGGGTTTCCTCGCTCCTTACACCTGTCCTCGGCCCGAAGGTCCGCCTACTGGCCAATAGCATGGCACCGGCCCCCACCAAGATCCACGGCTCGACTGGTGGGGGTCCGGCCACGCAAAAGCTTGTCTCTCAGCGTTTCCCACCTTCGAAAAAGCTTTCGCACGCCGTTCAGAGGCGCATTGGGAAGAAGCCCCCCCCCCTCCCCTTTCTCCCTTCTCCGCCCTCTCGTTCGGTCTCTCTCTTTCCTGCCCACCTTGTTGCGGGGCTGCAAAGCTCACCGGGATCGGGTCGCTTGCTGGCTCGCGTGGCCGACGACCTTGTCGCTCAGTCGTCGCTCCGTCGCCGGCGCATCGAGAGATATATATATATTTTTTTTTTCTGTACTCGTCGTTGTGGAATAGCCCCAAGAAATATATATACATATACATATATATACGTACAAAAAGCAAGGTGCTACGCAAGCGCTTGATTTTCGAAATTTCAAGTACACCCCTTGTACTAACCAACGAATCGAATTTTTGACGAAATATTGTGTATTTTCCACCGTCAAAGTCGCGCGACCGCGAGTGAGCGGCGCCGTGTGACGGATTACAATCACACGCGATCTAGTGTGGTGAAATGTGAAAAAATATCGATAACAGGAGGGCAACGCACCCTACCCCCAAAAATCATCTTATCAAACATACAAACACACAAACAAACATATAACATTGGTGTAGCCAGCGGAGAGAGCATAACCGGTGCGCAGGCACACGGACAGCGGTCAGACTGTCCGATCGGTAATGCCCGGAGCTGGGCAACGGAGATGCTGCTCCAGTGACAGCTGCTGTAGTCAGGTGCAGATGCTGCGGCAGGACTGGACTGCAAAGCGGTAGAAGCCGAAGAGGTGGTGGAGGGGGTGTGGGTCGTGTGTGTGTGTGCTTGTTGGTGTCGGCAGTTGTGGTGTGCTGCCAGTAGTGGTGGTGGTGTTGGTGGTGGCGGTGGTGGTGGTGCAGGGAGCGGAGGTGGCGGTGGTGGTGCGTTACCCATGCCGCTGGGGGCCCCGAGGCGGCGGCTCCTGGCCGCTCTGCTGCTGGCCGGGCTGGCTGGACTTGCGCTTGGCTGCGGCCCAGGCAGGGGTGGCGGCCGTCGGCCGATACTGCGCAAGCTCACGCCCCTTGTCTTCAAACAGCACGTGCCCAACGTCAGCGAGAACACCCTACCGGCGAGCGGCCGTAGCGAGGGCAGGGTGTCGCGCAACGATAAGCGCTTCCGCGATCTCGTGCCCAACTACAACGCGGACATTATATTCAAGGACGAGGAGGGCACGGGCGCCGATCGGCTTATGACCCAGGTAAGTCTTATCATCATTGATCAACCTTTTTTTTCTTCTTTTTTATTTCCTCTATATCCCCAATGCTTTCATCATTGTACCCCAACTTGCGATTCGCACATTTTCGATGTTCAGTATATGGTTGACGTGTACTCCGAATTAGACCAATGAGGCATCACTTGTTTCCATCCTCGCAGGAATCATTTACCAGTGCGTTGAATCTGACGTGTTTAGAGTTTTCTACGTGACCCTTTAAAGACCGTCTTAGTCGTAGAAAATCGTCCCGTAAGTCGCTCGGTCACCGTGGGCTAACTTTCCCACGCGAAACACGCGCATCAGGCAGCGTATAAAAACGTCAAAACGCCGGTGCACTTGAAAAGGGCTCATTTGGGTAAAGTAACAAAAAGAAAAAAAAAAAAAAAAAGAGCCCCTTGAACGGAGCTCGAGAGAAAATGATAATTCACCCGATATGACAAATAATCGAGCCGGCTTCTCAGAAGGATTCCTGCGTCAAATAGCGTGTGCCCCGCGTTGTGTAAATTTGTCCGGCCTGGCTCTAAAAGTCCCTGCAACTGCACCATATAACACAATCGAGAAGTTTCATTATTCGAGAACGGCGACGACATCGTCTTTGGGGCTGCGAGGCAATATACAGTCTCCCTCGCCCTCCCCTCCCTCATAAATAATTTATACCGAAAGCACGCCGAAGCGCACGGCCAAGCAGCAACCAGCGTCGTCGTTACGGGACGAGATCGTCAAACTTTACGATGCAATAAGCCAGAAATACATTTATGAACTTTCGATGGACTTTTACCTGCCGACCGTATATTACAATGTACAATGTAGGGAAGATATCATACCTACCCCGGCGCAAGCTCGGCTCCGCCAATAAATCCCGTGCCGTCGGAAAGGAGCCGCCGATATGTTTACACGCGTACCGTTTCTCCTTCGTCTTCGTTTTCCTGGCAAAGCGCTCCCTTTTTCGCGTCCGTATGTATTTACACGGTGCGTAAAAACGTTTATACCTGTGTAGAGGCCGGTTCCTTTAGTCGATCAAGCCCGGCAAACAGTAAATATTGAAAAATTCTATTTTCACGCTAAACCGCGGAGAAAAGAGAGGAGCACGTACATGTGAACAGGTGCGCGAGAGCGGCTCTGTACTGTTTCGTCGGTGTTGTCACAACGCGCGCGCCTCTTCGCGTGTTTGCTCTTCGTTTCGCGCGTCTTTGTCAACCAATCGTGCCCCCCCTCCCCCCCCTCCGATGCGTAACATACATTTTCGCGCTCCATTGTACCATATAATTGACGCTCGTAATACATATATGTACACGCGAAACTATAGATTATAGAGTCCATATAGGGTCACACGTTCCCAGCGCCCGAACGGTTTGATGGGTGAAATGGCGCGCTCAGTGTGCTCCCGAGTTCAACTTTTCTAAACTACCCTTGTAATTTTATTGAGTAATCCTTGTAGTAAACGGTTTTTCATTGAGTGTCCACAATTTATTGCCCCGCATTTTTTGTACGTATTTGTCGTGCACCACAGTGCTAATCATTGCGGATGAAAATAAGGGGAAAAAATGCGCGTTCGTAAATCCATGCCCCAAAGACCAATCCCTCGTACAAACAAACAAAAAAATGGTCCAAACGTGCAGGGAATAAGGGAAAAAAGGCGTCTCGTTGCTGCCGATGGTGATATACCTGGTTGGTCGTAACAACAGATCAGCCGGTGCCTAAGCGCACGACTCATGGCACATTAAACACGAGATAAGGATAACAGCAGCTGTATCCGGCATGAGCTGCATCGCGCGTATACGTATATGGATTATTTTCGTTCACCTCTCGGTGTTGTTCTTATCTGCCGGGGCGCCGCCGTCAATCGCGTGCGCCTTGGCCTATGGCGTTACCGCCGCTGTTTGCGGAAGGTCTTAAGGGAGCCCTCTAATGCGCGTCCAACAAGATAACGCCTTTCTCCCAAACAATGGTGCATCGGCAAAAAACCAAACCAAACTATACCTACACACAAGCATACACCACGTTTGTGCTACGGGGCATAAGCAACGTCGCGCTAACTAATCGTCCCGTGTGAAGTAAGCAGGGGTACATCCCAAGCTTATGGTTAATGATGCGCATTGGGTTCACGTGCTCGGGGATGTATCGTCCCCCCAAGCGCATCATCAAGCGGCGTTTTATTTTTTTCATCCAGCGATTATCGAGAGCGCTTCGGCCGGCCTTGGCGCGATGGGAGTCACGGCACGTACACGTAACTCGTGTACACATTTGTATCATTGTGGCCGCATACGCGCTTCAGAGAACGAGATAAGACTGCAGCTGCGCCCCATGTAACGTATACACATACGTGTATAATATAATGCACTGGTGACGCGCAGATAAACGCGTCGTGTGTGTTGTGCACACGCCATTCTTGGCTGCTGCTCATCATGGGAGATAAGACGTACTCGTGTACCTAAGCTTATATTCATGAAGTATATAGGTACATGATATAGTGCAACTGTCATCCTCGCACGTGACTGCGCATAATTGCAGGTATAAATGGGCGTTGGAAGTGTACAAATTGCATATCTCGGTGAAAGTGAATACTTCGTGTCGTTTTTCGCGATAGCTAATCGACGCGCGTCATCTAGTGCCTGTAACGACGACATATAGTAATTTATTTGTGCCCTGGTTCTTCTCTTCGCTCTACAGATAGTAGGGATTACATGAGCGTGCAGCCTGTGTTTGCGCAGTTTTTATTGCTGTTACACTGAGAGAAGGATTTGTTTATACTATCAACGTACAAGTATGTGCACAGAAAATTAGTTTACATCTTTTTATAACTTTTTAAATTTTAACTACACCCAAACGGCATGTTGATAATTAACGTTGAACCTGCGCCGTCTTAGATGGCACCACACGGGATACACATTATACGTAAGTTAGTAGATAACATATGAAGTTAATTACTAACAAGTCCTTCTCTCAGTGAATGATAGAAGCTCCATTTCTCTAACCTGAAAAATATACGATCGGCGTCATCTCGTCCCGTCCCTCATTTGTGTGTACAACTAATAGGGCAGCAGTACATCAACGTACCGGAAAAACGTAGAGCGAAAAAAACGGCACCCAAACATACAGTTGCTCGAACAAATCCATGTTAAAACCGCCTCTACTGCTCTTAGCCAAATAAATTTGACAGTTTATTAGTAAAATTTTCTCAATTCCGATCTTTTGATACTCGACGTGTACGGGATTACTCGTATTGCAGTCGTTTCTTTGAGACAAAGGTGAAATATTTTCTTTCTTTGTTTTTAATTGGTGACCTACGAATGCACAAGACTTTATCCATCACTTGATGTCCATATTGTTGCAAACTTCATTTCGAGTACCTATTTTTGTTTTCCAAGAGATAACGTTTTGCATAAACTACCTATTGCTCGAAAGGAGAAAAAAATGTAATCGCGGAGAATCAGGTGCGTGTGAAAACTACCACAAGTTATTTCACCACGTGTACAATTGGTTTGGAAAATTTTTTAATTTCTTTTCTCGCCCTCTCTCTCCAAATGTGCAAGTATTTTTACAAGATATCTTCTCAACGTATGCGTCAACAAACTACTTAAGCACGAACAATAGTATACCAAGAGCGCAGCAGATCGGCTTCTAGTGTTGGCACGGCTCGCGAATCTAATCACCCGCCGCTGGTGCTGGTGCACGCGAGCAGTCGACGGGAGAGTAAATCCCGAGAGGGACTCGAATGAAAAAAAGGGAGAAAGAAATAAGAGAGAGAGAGAGAGAAGGATGAGGAAAGCGAGAGGGCGAGCGCGGAGGAAAAAAGGAACCAACAACAAAAGCCGAGGAGGCGAGCACAAGCCCCCCCCCCCCTTCTTAAGGCGAGCTTTATCGCGCGCACGACTGCAAAAACCCGTTCGAAAGAAAACAATAATCCACGAGAGCAAGAGTGTGTTGTATACTTGTGTCGCGGTATATCGGCTCTCCGACTGGTACACACAGCAAAGTTAGTTGGCACAACAGCGGAGGTTACTCGTATCGGGCGGGCGAACAGAAATCGGTCACGCACCCCTACCACCCCGTCCGCGAGAGACGAGCGTAAAAATCGGCGCCACTCGAGTAAATTGCCCACAGGTATAAGTACCTATCAACCTGCGCGCGCGAGCATTGACGGCCAAATACATCACACTAATGGCAATGATGGACGCCCGCGAGGAGAGGAAGTTGGTGTACATATATACACGTATATAGGAAGGGGGAGGCATGCAACGCGCCAACTATACATGGGGGCCCGCCGATCCCACCTGAGCCGGTCGACGCTCTCTCTCTCTCTCTCTCTCTCTCTCTCTCTCTCTAAGTGATTGTGGGTAGGTTTATGGCGGCCATAACCGGTGTTTGGTTTGGCGCATTAAGGCTCCTCCAATTACGGCAAATAAACCTAATGACAACAGCTACGCCAACAACAACAATGGGGCTCAAACTCTCTCTCTCTCTCAGTCTCCTTTTTCCATCCACCTCGACTCTTTTGAGAGACTTTTTTTTGCTTCGCTTTGCTGAGCGCAGTTCAAGTGTGCACAATAAGTACCCACTTACTCGCACCTTTTTTTTTTGTTGTTTTATAACTACTTTTTCCTTACCTCAGTTAGGCACAAAAGCGTGTACACGGCAGTTCCTTTTCGAGCGCCCTCCCTTGGCGCCGACGTAATGTGACGCAACCCGTTCACCGGAAGACAGCCTCCCACGACCCCCACCCCTCGGATCTAATTTTACGGTTTACTTGCGTGTGCGTTACAGTAACCGCTTGCTCGTGAGCTTATTACAGCGATGCTGACTTTTCGCGCCTCGTTGGTGATTACGCGTGGATAAGTTTCACGGTTCAATTGTACAAGCGTCACCCAACTTGGCGCGTAATCGAGGAAAAAGAGTATCACAATTGCGTCACTCACCTCGTTAGGATCAACGAAGTGCGTGTATACGTTTGTACAACAGTGCCAGTCATTGAATTCGTTTAGCGG